ACTCAAGTATTTTATCACTTCTGATATCTTACAAAAAACAATGCATAGAAAAACCAGTACTTATCATGAACATATCTATAGAAGATGATTTTGGCTATTCTTGGTTAGATTCTTGTATTAAGCTTTGTATGCCTTTGAAAACTAATTGAATTTACCTGATTTACAATTTGCTAATTGTTGACTTTCAGTTGGACATTGATTCTTGTAACAAAACCATATATATGAACTAGTTATATTTGTATTATTATCTATTGATGGTTGATAAGGTAATTTGCATAGTTCATTATAATCTGTTGGTTCAACTGTAATATTCATTTTATATGTAGATAAGTTTTGAATAAAAGAGAAAGAAGAAGACTTACTAATTGAACTAACATCAGAAAGAGGAAATCGAGGTGGTTCATTGACGATATCAACAGAAGTGAATTCATTTCCATTGGTGACAACAAGTTCACCACTCTCAAAACATAAAGTAGTGGAAAAATCACAACTAAATATTTGAAGGAGAGGTTCTATTGTGGTGTAAGTTGAAGTTGTCTAAAAAGATTAACATGATTACGCGACTGAACCTTTCTTGAGAAGTTCGTCTTATTAAAAAAGAAAAGACACATCCTGAATATATCCTCTAGTTTATATTAATAGGTTTCCGTTTCTATAGAAGTGTACCGTTGTTATAATTGGAACATTTGAACTTAATGTTTCTTCAACATCTTGTGTAATCACAGATGATTCGAAAAGACTAGGCGTAGTAGATACTGTCGTTGTTATTGATCTGAAAGTCAAAAAAAAACAGTAAGAAAGAAATATTCAAACATCATCAGTGTTTCTATAGTTAATGATATAATATAAAGACCGTAGGAAAGCTATTCTAACGTGCTGGTAAAACAATCCACATGATATTTTCGTTTTATGTGTAAAGACTACTTAGATATTCATTTCTTCATCGATAAGTGTGAAAGAAAACAATCTTCGAATTATGTGAATCATGATTAAATTCATGTTGAAACAATTAAACTGTGTCTTCTCATTAGAGAAATCGTCGTCATTTCAATTCCATGTCAATTAACTCGAGAATTATCATTTTCATGTTTATATACAAGAGCTTGAAATGATTCACAAATTCGTATTGCGATTCAATTCAGCCTTAATTGCAATGCAGTCAGATAAGCTCTCTCTACTGGCTGAAAGAAATTTCATTGACAAAGTATTTTCGTCCAATAAATTTCTGTGATCACTTCGGTGATTAACTGTGTTTTTTGCAAGTAAATGATCACTGTTATCGTGAATTTCATTATGTCAGATTGTTAGAATTGAAACAAATGTAGTACGAGATTAGTTAAATTGCTTGTTAAGTGAAACGAAGACACAAAAGATATTCTTAGGAATTTGAATCCAGTAATGCTCACTATGCATTATTCGATGTCTTTTGACACTAACATTTTTTATTAAGTTAGACCCATAGGAAATGTTCCATACTTCTGGATAAAAGCTTTTTTTCTATTTCTTGATCGTTTAGTGAAGTACCCACATGGGCAAAAAAATAAGTGAATATGGCGGGCATCACTAGTCTGAAATGTCCGTAATACTCGTCATGTCTAGTTCATTTTGTCCGCCTACTCTGTCCAGACTAGGCCATAGAACAGAAAAAGCGATAAAAAAAGAAGACGAAAGAGGGATTCGAACATTCGATCCGACAGTATTTAATATCTGACGGGTGTCCTGACAGCAGACTATGACTTAGCGATAGGCTAACGTCAGTTTAAACAGTCTGAGTACCAAAGTGACGCGCGTCCATTTGCTACACGATTTGAAACCCATCGGAAACGAGCGACTTGACTAATGTGAAATGTCTTCAATGGTGGTCAAGATTAGTCTGAAGTATCATCTATGTACTTCAAGACTAGTTCGTTTTTTTAAGAATGCTATGTTAATTCTTGTTTACACTAGTCTAAAAACTTCGGGTAACTTATTTTGTTCAAGCTAAACTGTTCTGTTACTTGATTGAAACTGATCCATAATGGAAAGAAAAAGAAGTAGAATGTAAGACAAGGAATTTTTCAACATATCTATTATGGTTAAAAACAATCGATGAATAATCAGACGCATTCAGACTATGGATCAGATATGAAAATAAGAAATATTTCGCTGCCTATCTTCTATTAAGAACTTCATGATTGTTAGTTAAGTATGATTTGTTATATTACGATTACGAAAAATTAATGACAATTATTAAATTTTTATTAATACATATGTAGACTGTCATCTGTGTTATTAATTTCTTTTCTAATTAGTGTGGTGATTAGAAAGTCCTACAAAACCATTACCGAAGTGAAGGATAGACAAGATATCCTTTGCATCCATATTTTAATATCACTGATAATTTTTTATAGTTTCGTATGTAAAAGTATATCGAAGTATAAAATACTAGAAGTAAACACAAAATACAATGTTTATCTCGTACCGAGAAGTTTCAATTTATGTAGTTTAAAATTTATTAAATGTATTTTAGAGTAATTATGAACATGTAGAAGTTGATCTCTTGTTTGTATAGTTCAATTGTCTAAACGATGGTAAGTAACATATTGTATGCATGTTTCAATCTAATCTTCATCCTTACATATTTAAATTTAGACTTGTCCACTACATAAAACTACAACCCATTTCATGCATCGTCCGTGACATCCTTACTTTTTCAATTTTAAATCGTTTTCAGACGGGAGTCATATCGTCCCGTCCTAGATGGGTCGCTTTTGACTAAAGGACTAGTCTTATCATGTCTCTGATGTCTGTCAACGACATGTTAGGACCGATACGCATGACCGATAGAAGTTCAGATTAGTCGAGACGAGGGAACATGACTAGAAAAAAGACTAGATATTTAACTCGTCTTTTGTTCACTTGGATAGTGCACAGCCGAAATTGGTCTGTATACCAAAAAGAAAATAATTTCAGATAACTAAAGTTTGAAGGACCAGCTAATTCTTTAGAAGCGGCTAAGCTTTTCTATATAGCTACTGAATTTATAGTATTTTTGGTATTATATTTTTATTTTATTTTCGTAAACGGATTATTTTTAACTATGTGCTACCTCATTGCAAGGTTAGAATCGAAAAAAATTCGCTCGAAGAAATAGTGTTGAGCTATAGAAAGTGGCACATGTACGAGGAATACAAACAATTTAACCAATTTATACGATTTGTTAGGTTACTCGTACATGAAATCCACATAATTTTAATACCATAGAGCATATTTCATAATTTCTGTCACTCCTAACGACCACAGAGTTTGAGAAAAAGGATGAAAACGCGGCTGATCCAACTCGACAAAAAAGTGATTCTGCCCGATCACAGAAAAAGAAAACTTCCTGCGTCTGGCAAGCACATTTTGAATACTATTCTAAACTGTGAAATGAACAATATAAAAAACACCTATGTTAACTAAGTAACAGACAAGGTAACAAGTGATTTGAATATGCACAACTAAATTTTCTCTGAAGTATTTGTAGCACATTATTCGAGAGAGTTGGTAATAGAATAAATAATCAATCGAAACATCGTTGAATTCGGTATGACAAGAATGCAAATACAATAATTTGTATGCAAAATGATGATAACAATAGACCCAATAGAGTATTTCACAAACCCGAATTCCCTTATGGATCATTCAGTTGATAATTTGTTAATAAGATTCAAAAATGAAACTTACGTTGTTGTCGTCAGTGCAATAGTCGTCGTTCCGGGTAATATTGAGGTAGTTGTTGTTGACATTGAGGTGATCATTTCGGGTGATGAGGTTGTGGTTATTTCGAATAATTCAGTGATAGTTGTTGCTGACTCAGTAGTAGTTGTTGTCATACTAGAATCTGTAAGAGAAAATAGACCAAAAGTCAAAACAATTTATCTACTGATGACAAGAAAACACACCACAAGGTTGATCATATATCTTGATTTCATCCAAACCAAAGATATGATTAAAACTTACTGCATCACGCATCATTCTGAATGTAAGCTTAAACGATATTGAATAATATTCATTGCACTCATCAACTATCTATATCCATTAGAGACTATATTAGTACTCACTTGATAAGAAGATGATGAAGGAGCTGTATAGTTACTCCGACTATTTTGCCATCTGTTTTCTGAATGTGCTGTCAGTTCAATTATTTGTTGTGTGTCTGCATCTGCTTTCCATCCTACTTGCATTCTAGCATTGCTTGATGTACCAGGTATATAATAATAGAAATCAAGACATTGAATAGCACTTGAGCTTTGTTTAACATCAGTCACATATGTCTGATCATATGCACCAATTCCTGATGCAGCTATCGCGACAAATTTTCCTACAATCAATCAATGTATTCAAAAAATATTGAGAATAAATGAAATCTAAGAAAATAACCAACCAGTAGAACATTGTCCCAAACCAGATGCAGTTAGACATGTGAAGTTGCTGTTAGAATAAGCTCGACAAAAATACATTTGCCAGTTTCCTGGTGTATAAGTATATGGAAAATTGCAGGGTTCATTGTTAGGTGTAGTAAGTGATCCTATATAATAAATGACATTTGATAGTGATCTTTATTATCTTTCATTGAGAAAAGACTTACGAACAGCAGTAACATCAGATAAGGGTTGAGTAGGATTATTAGAAGAAGGAAAATTGCCATTTGACAAGGCCAAATTATTAGATCCTTCCGATATTAGTGTGAATTGACAGTCACCTGTCATATTACGGTCAAAGTTACATTGATAATTTATATTTTGAGAGTGGCAAAATGTTAATATCAACAGCAGAACTATAAAATGAATAATTTGAAAGTCAAAGAAATCATTTTACATCAGGGCATACCAGTAAAAGTACAAAAGTCTCGATTTGTCATAGTTGAATCAATCGTCATCTAATAAATACAATAGTTTCTATTAATCTAAAACAATTAAAAAGTCTTTTATCATTATTTTATGTGTAACGACATTGCCAGTTCATAACACTTTGAAATAAATTTATAACATGAATTTTATTTTGCAAGACAATCAAGATAAAACAAGAAAAGACAAATTGTTAAACACCTGTGTTATTTGATGAAAGATTAGTGTGCAACACTTATCATTCTATTCTTGTATGTTTAAAAATAAAAGTAATGCAAGGTCGCTCGTTATCAGCTTTTGCGTCGTAAAAGAATAAAAAAAACTTACCTGAAGGTAATATTATTCTTACAAATGACTACAACTTCTGGTTGAATTAGGAAGTTAGTCAATGAAGTATGGCTAAGTATGACTATTACCTTTTATATTGATTTTGCATGACAACTACTATTCAATATATCGGCGATCTACTTAAATGATATATCGAAAGTGATAAAGCAGATAGTTTTCACTAGTTGCACTACAGAGAAAGTTTCGAACAAGATTAATTTTTTTGTACTAAGGTTAAGTATTGTATATTTTAAGTTAAATATTAAAAAAAGTCAATGATAGGTTTTGAAAATATTCGTTCTTTTTTTCATTTAAAGAATTACATATGAATAAATCATTATATTTTTGAATTTGTATCTATTGTCGATTCATCTAATTCTCGTAGTAGATTCATTGATAAAAAAGATTCGTGACTTTTCTTGATAGTCTCTGTTCAGATTTGTTTTGAGTCATATGACATATATGACGAAATATTATAGTATTCTTTACATTTGAATATGATGACTGAGCTTGTTCATAAATATAAAGGTACATCATTATCAACTCATTCTTTTATTTAGACTATTGCTTGTTAATGAAAATATATGATTATAAAATATGTCAAAAGAATTCTTCAATTTAGCTTGTTGATTTGATTTGAATGACATCAGTGAATTTTATTTGCAAAAAATCACTTTGAAATATTAGAATATAGAAAAGTATGCAAATATTTTTCTCTTCTAAAACTATATTTTTCTTCTTTTTCAATCAATATTCTTTCCATAGTTTTTTTCTTCTTTTAACTAAAGTTGTTTGTTGATATCTAAATCATATTTCATATTCAATAAAGTCTATTATTCATCAGTATTTCTTGTCGAATGTATTATTTCATTGGCATAAGCCCAAAGTTTTATTCTGTAAAAAAAAACACTAATATTTTTGATACTGTCAGACTATTTTTTTTTGATTATTGTAGCTCGCTTATTGTGCAAATTGTTTTTAGATTTTCCTTTGTTTTATTTATGTAAACTTTTGGAATGCTTACATGAGAAGATTCGGAAAGCATAATGAAACAAAATGTAAATGATACTAATTGTCATAAGTGGAGCTCTCTTTAGCACTTACTTTATCATTGTTGGAATATAGATGAAGCTATGAAAGGGAAGAGATACCATAAGAGATTCGATGTTGAATGAAACAAATCCATTTGATCAAGAGTGTTTTGTGTCTCTTTATTACTTTGTTTCTTCTGAAGATGTATCTGAGTGAATCTTTCTAAAGTCATTCCAGTAAAATAAACCCTTGAGAAAGAGTGAACATCTGAAGTCCAATTTATAGATATTTTGAAGTTTGTTTTTAATGTATCATGACACATAAACTTCTAGTGGATTCTCTTGTGTCACTATAAATAGATCATCCCAGAGTTGGAACCGATCCAGAATTTTCAAACCGGTCCTATCCAAAAAGCTTTCCAGATCGGTAGAAACCGGCAAAAAGTGACCGATATGTTGGGTACTTTATGATGGGTCAAAAGAAGAGGCTTCAAAAAAACACTCGTTTTCGTATTTTTTTCTCATGTGTTTCTTAATCTTCAAGAAGAAATATGATACTATAGTCTCTTATGTGTGAATTTTTCCAAAGATGAATATGTGATGTTTCCCTATGACGAGAGAAGACATTTATCTATCCGACGCTCGATTGATAATCTGGAAATCTTGAATTTTTCATTAAGGTTTTACAGAGAGAGCTAATATTTGTGTTTATATGATGATCCAATCTCAAATCTGCTGTGTAATGACATATCAATGAAATAAGTTGAAAGGTTTACCTCAAGTGACACTATTTTAGTTGTGTTTTCTAGGAAATGAAATAAAGTTTGATTAAAAAAATTAAAATTTTTAGCGAACTTAGAGAAAATGAAACTGACGGTTTTCGAAAAAAAATACGATTATTTAGATTAAAGAACTTCAACTCGCTCTAGATATATTTTATTAAGAAAAAATTATATATCTAGAAAATTATAAAATTCATTTTGGACTTAACCCTGAGGGGGGCCAGGGATGAGTTTAGAAATTTCTTCAAACCGGTAAAAACCGGCGAAAATCGGCTGGTCCAATCAATTCAACCGGTCCAGTTCCAACTCTGGATCATCCACTAATAAAAATGACTATCGATGTACTATTCCAATGGCAACTTGGAATTTTCAATTCACTCCTTCTCAATACATGACAAATCTCCGTGATACGATCACTGGATTCGACACAGCTATTTACCTACCTACCTATCTATTCATAAATATGTATGTCTACCTTGCACATTTAATCAAGAAGAAAAGCGTTAGATGACTGAACGTCTGCCTGGAAATCCGCATAGGTAGGTAGGTAAGTAGGCTGTCAAAAAAACATCACTCAAGAGTCCCACTAGTTCCCATAAAGTTAGATAGGTAGGCAGATGGGTAGGTATGTGGGTGCCGCGAAAGGACTGCCCACAAAAGGACTGGTCGCGAAAGAAATGGCGACAATACGACACATATCACATGGCATTTGCTATGGGTGTCACGAAAGGACGGGTCATGAAAGGACTGGTCATGAAAGGACTGGTCACGAAAGGACTAGTCGCGAAAATACTGGGCAGGAAAGGGCTGGCCACGTAAGGGCTGCCTACGAAAGAGCTGATCACGGAAGAACTGGCGATAATACGACAAACGTTACATTGCACTTGCTGTGGGTGTTGCGACAGGACTGGCTTGTGTAGTACACTTTGTTAGGGGGTTTGGAATGGATTTCCTGAAAATGTAATTTATGCCCATTATGCCCATTTTAAATCTATTCATCATGTCTTTGCAGTAAAATCAGTTTCCTGGAAACTAATAGAACGCATTGATCGTTTGTCTGTAGATATAATATTTGTGGCGGCATGTTTAGCGGTATTTTCGGGAATCGGTGGAGTTTTGCATACTTTGATTGCTCGTTGTGGTGCTGTATGAGGGGTGTTACCAAAAGATGAATACATTTGAAGTCTATAAGTGGGTGTTTCTTTGTTGATAGGAATTCAACCTACCTTTGAAGAAAAGTCACGCGTTGACCCACCACACACACATGTTCTTACACAGGGCCGAATAACTTTGAGAATTTATTATGCAATAATTTTTATGCATCATATACGTAAGAAATCTACTACTTATCTATGATATTGTTTAAATTATTCGAACTTGTTATGCACAAACTATGGGTTGTGTTGTTGTATAAAATTTATACTCTTAATACAAAATATATTTTTTAACCATTACATATAATTCATTTATGATGTATTAATTGATATTTATTGATTTATTATATAATGTTTCTATGTTACATTTTTCTATTATTTTCAATCCATTTAATTTGTGCAAGTTGCATTTTAATCGTGTAATAAAAATGATATCTATATAATATATATTTTTTATCTATAGGATTTAATTTATTTATAACGCATAATTTGCGTTTTAGTATTCTAAGACTTAGTATATATTATATATATTTTCTCTATTACGTTTAGCTAATATCTTATAAGTTGGGTTTTTCGGTTTAACGTGTCCACTTAAGATACTATATGATCTTAATCTATTATATGTAATTCATCTAGGTTATATAGCTACACCTTTTGTGTCTTAAAATAGAATAGTTATATATTAAACATTTTTATCTATTACATTCAATTTATCTATAATGTATAAGTTTAGTTTTAGTTACTTAATATGTAACTTTTGTATATCATAGTGTTTCACCTTATTACATTAGGTTCATTCACGCCCTATAAGTTTGGCTCTAATGATGTAATATATAACTTTGATATATCATATTGTTTTATCTAATTAGATTTATTTTGCAATTAACGTATAAGTTAAGTTTTAGTAATTTAATATATATGTTTTATATTTTATACTATTTTAGCTTATTATACTTATTTATTCTATAATGATAGCTTATTTTCAGTCATTCAATAAATAACACATCCATATTATGTTGTTATATCTGATTAGATTCATGTAAAATTTAATGTACAAGCAAAGTTTTACCGATTTATTATATACTCTTTATATATATTTCATATTTTTCTTAATCAATGACATATATTTTATTTATAATGCATGCTTTTTATATATTACATGCTTCTTTTACGTTTTATTTATTCATAATGACCGATTTCAATACAGTTTTTTCGCTAGATATTATTTTTACGTTATATATATGTTAGATACACGTGCTAATAAGATTTTATTCTATACACTTACCTACCCGCCTATCTCACCCTAGGAGAACTAGTGGCACTTTTGAGCGATGTTATGTTGACCTTCCATTTTCCTACCTACCTACCTGCCTAACTTTATGAGAACCAGTGAGAGTTTTGAGTGACGTTTTTTGACCTCCTATTTACCTACTTACCTACCTACCAATCTATCTTTATGAGAACCAGTGGGAGTTCAGAGTGATGTTTTTTTGACCTCCTATTTGCCTACCTTCCTACCTACCTATCTAACTTTAGCAGAACCAGTGAGAATTCCGAGTGATGTTTTTTCGACCTCCTAATTACCTACCTACCTACCTACCCATATACCTAGCTACCTACCTAGCTAATCTACGTTTGAGATCGTTTTTGAGCATTGATCTGCAATTCGAGTGATATTATCACTGGAATCTGTCATGCACTCTTATAACTGACAAGCTTTCAGCATATATATGATACT